GCCCTGGAGAGGGCAGAGAGGAGGGGGCAGCCTGTGGTGAGGGACTGTCCTGGTACCAGCTCCAGAACAGGCTTGAGGCTGGGTGTCCAGCACCAGGGGCTCCCATTCCTCCTTGGACCTCCCCCAAGGGGCAGCTGGGGGACTTACGGGCTCTCCCTTGGCGCCAGTGTCTCCTTTGTTGCCAGGAGCACCAGGTTCACCCTGAGTGGGAGGAGAGGAAGATGAGTGGAAAGTGGGGATGCTCAGCTGGCCTGGATCGTCATGCTTCCCAGACAAGGGCCACGGGAGCCAGCTCATGGGGTGGGGCAGAAGAGAGAGAGCAGTACTTACGCTGTTACCCTTGGGACCAGGGGGGCCGCTGGGACCCTGGGGTCCAGAGGGGCCTCGGGCACCCGGGAAGCCAGGAGCACCAGCAATACCAGGGGCGCCCTGCGGGAGGCAGAACAAGTTAAGCCCAGGAGTGGAGGGCACAGGGTGGGCGGAAGGTGGGCACCAGGGGCGGCTCTGAAACCAGCAGGATACTTACATTGGCACCTTTAGCACCAGGCTGTCCATCAGTACCAGGGTTTCCCTGTGACACAGAGAGAGGTGGGTGAGTGACAGGCAAGGACTCTGAGTTAGGGAGAGGCACGGGGGTACTGAGGAGGTGACACTTACAGCAGGGCCAGCGGCACCAGCAGGGCCAGGGGGGCCGGGCTCGCCACGCACACCTTGGGGACCTTCAGAGCCTCGGGATCCTTGGGGACCAGCTTCACCCTGGATTGGAAGAAAGAACCTGTCAGGAGCCACCCTGGGAGCCCAACCTCATGGCTGGATGGCAGGGGGTGAAGGGCCATGACAGGAGACCAAGAGTCAGGACTCCAAGATCAGAGAAGGGGACCCCAGGACAAAGGTGTTGGGGACTGGGCTTCTCTCTTGATTCTGGGTCCCTCTGGTTTGGGGAGCTGGGAGATGCCCACACCTTGGCCTGTGGGAGCCCTGCTCATTGGAGGGTGGGGGTCTCACCTTAGCACCAACAGCACCAGGGAAACCAGGAGGACCAGCGGGGCCAGTGGAACCCTGTGAATGAAAGGAAGATGTTAGTGAGAAGGAAGATGGCAGCCTCAAGTCATACCCTGGGACAGAAAAGGTCCTGGGGTTCAGTCCTGCCCCTGGTATCAGACCCAAGAGCTGACACTGAGACCCCTCCGCAATCCCAGGCACTGAGGTCTAAGGGCTGTACTCACAGGGGGTCCAGCAGCACCAGTAGCACCATCATTTCCACGAGCACCCTGCAGGAGAGAGGGGAAAGCCCCGGTTACATTCACTGAGCACTGCTCAGTCCCTTTAGCTCCTAGGGAACCCCTTCCAGAACCTGGAGTCCCCCAAGGGGCCAGGAGTACTTACAGCAGGGCCAGGGGCTCCAGGGCGACCTCTCTCACCAGGCAGACCACGGGGGCCCTGACAACAAAACCAAGAGAAGCCAAGTGAGACAGGAGACACACCCCTCTCCCCAAGCCCCCATCTTGCCACTACGTCCTGTTCCCTCTCTTCCTTCTACAACTGGACACACTCACCATCTGACCAGGAGCTCCATTTTCACCAGGGCTACCAGGCTCACCCTACAGAGCAGAGAATAGAGTTAGAAATTCATTCATGGTGGGACTGCAGGGGAGGTGGAGGACCATGACAGTCACACAGCCTCTTACCTTGGGACCAGCAGGACCAGCATCTCCCTTGGCACCATCCAAACCACTGAAACCCTAAGATAGGAAGAGGGCCAAAGTGAGATCTTGTGGAGACTGTGGACAACCTTGACAGCCACCCAGACCTCAGGAGGAACCTCAGGAGGTCATCACAGCTATCTCCCTGTGTCTGAGCTAGACTAAACCCCAACTGGCCCAAGATCTCACTCCATGCCTTTATTGGGATTTCCTTCCCAATGGAGGGAAGTTCTCTTTGATGTCTACTCTCTATCCCTTGGAACTTATACAGCTGCCACCCACCACGACGCACACCAGGATCCTTTGGGGAAAGGGCTGGAATGCGATGCTGGGACTTTGGGAACTTAGATGACACAAGGGTGACTCACTCTGTGTCCCTTCATTCCAGGGAGGCCAGCTGTTCCGGGCAATCCCCGGGCCCCCTGGAGAGAAAAGCAAAGGACAAAGGCAGGGCTGTTAGAAGACGCCACTGTGGACACAGCTCCCAAATGAAGCCCAAATGCAGCAAAGCCTGGAGGCAGCCACGCCATCCTCCTGCTCACCTGAGGTCCAGGAGGCCCGCGCTCACCAGGACGACCAGGCTTTCCAGCTTCACCCTGAGAGAAAGAGAAAAGGCCATCGTGCCCGTGCCCCCTGAGTTGGAAAAGTATGGAAGGCCTGGGTCTTCCTGGGGTCGTTGAGGGTCAGGCTTAGGGGCCCAGAACCTTATCTCAGTTTAAATCTACCATGCAACCCTTGCTTGAATTTTGCGTCCCTCCAAAGGAATTTCTGTTTATTTCTGTCACCAGCATCTTAATCTCACCACGTGGAGTGAGAATCTGAGGTACCCAGAGTGGTTAAGCCTGTGGGAAGCCATTCACATCAGGGGATGGGGTTGGGGACTGCTTTAAGGTGACTGGGGTGAGGGGAGGGAGAGCCACCTCTGTTAGGAAGATGGCGAAACATCCCAGGAGGCTCCTTTTTCAAGGGCAGTCCCATGAATCAAGGAGAACATGCCCTCCTTTCTCTGGGTATCACCCCCAAAGGTGGTGGGGGCACTGGGGTAGAGATTACAGGGACCTAACACATGGAGAGGTGGTGGGGGTCAGATGGTATCTCTTTACCAGGGCTACTTACATCATCTCCGTTCTTGCCAGGGGGGCCAGGGGGACCACGGGGACCCATGGGACCCTAGAGGAGACAGGAAGAGAGGATGTTAGAATGGCCAGGATAAGGAAAAAAGAAGGGGAAGGCTAGGATTGGAAGAAGGAGGTAAGAAAGACCCCAGATGGTGGTCCTTCAATAGGAGAATCCATGTATTTGTAGAGGGAGTGTATATTTGCACAGAGAGTACAAGTTGGGGAGCACTTACTGAGGCTCCAGGCTCGCCAGGCTCACCAGGGGGGCCTTGGAAACCTTGGGGACCCTGGCAGACAGGGAGAGAGGGGTAGGGTTAGAAGAGTAGGTCCCTGCCAACCTGTCCCCCATCTCACCAAGAGATCTCTGAGCACCTTCCCTGCCCTCATGCCAATCCTCTTTCCAAAAGCCCAGAGCCCAAAGCGGTGTAGACATCCTGGATACTCACAGGTGCGCCAGGGGGGCCAGGGAGACCACGAGGACCAGAAGGACCCTACGGAAGAAAAAGAAAGGGAGGCCATAATGAAGCCTCTGTAGGAAAGGTTATCTCCCATGGTTCCCATTCAGACCACCCAGTTGCCTGGCATCCTCTCTGGATTCTGAGGTCCCAAAGGTCTTCTTGAGCTCCTAAGTTATCTATGCCACCCCATATCCCTTCCCTGGCCTATCCTGTCTGGATCCTCATTTGCTCTTCTTCTGTCCTCCACATCCCTCGCTGGTGACTCACCATGGGGCCAGGCACAGAAATTCCTGTTGATTTCTCATCATAGCCATAAGACATCTGGGGAGCAAAGTTCTAGAAGAGAGAGTACATGAGAAAGCAGGGTCAGGGCAGTGAGTTGAAAGGCAGAAGACATCACCAGTAACGGGAAACACTGATACCACGTGCCTCCTGATGTGACACGCTATGCAGGACAACAACATGACCTGGGGCATAGCCCTGCCTGAGACGTATCACTGGAATGTAATCATGAAGACACATCCAACAAACCCAATTTAAGGGACAGTCTACAGAACAACGGGCCTCTTCAAAAAATGTCAGTGTCATAAAAGACAAAGAAAGTCTGAGGAATGTTCCAGGTGAAAGGAAACTAGAGACATGACAATTAAATGCAATTCATGATCCTGGCTTGGATCCTGGAACAGGAACAACAGCAAAAAAGCTATAAAGGCCATTATTGGGAACATTGGTGAAGTTTGAATGTGGACTGCGTATTAGATAATAAACAGTACTGTATCAATGTTAAATTTCCAAAATGTAGTCATTGTGCAACGCTCATGTTATGAGAATGTTCTTGCTCTCAGAAAATACACGCTAAAGTATTTAGGAGCCAAGGGACATAATACCAGCAACTTACTCTCAAATGGTTTAGAAAAAAAAAAAAAAACCCAGATAATTATATTTATACACAGAAACTGATAAAACAAATGTGACAAATCGTGGATATGTGAAAGTTCTTTGCATTATTTTTGCAACTTTTCTCTCTTCCTGTAAGTTTGAAGTTATTTCATACTATGAAGTATGCCATCTGCCAAGACAAACCAACCCCAACAAACTAAAAACCCCGCGGTGGGGGGGGTGGGGGCGAGGTGACATAAGGCCTTCCAAGAACGCCTCGACTCTCCACTTACTCCTCCGAGGCCAGGGGGTCCGGGAGGTCCTGGGGGTCCGGGGGGTCCGGGAAGTCCAGGTTGTCCAGGAATGCCATCTCGGCCAGGGGGGCCAGCGGGTCCCTGCAGCGGGAGAGGGCGGGCCGGGTGAGCGCAGGCCAGGAGCCACGCCCACCTCCAGCCCCAACAGCCGGGAGAGGGCACCGCTTACCCTTGGGCCTCGGGGGCCAGTGTCTCCTTTGGGTCCCTATGGGGTTGGGGCAGAAGAAACAAGAGAAGCCGGGTTAGAGAAGGAGAACCGCGAAGAGTCTTGGGCGGGGTGGCGAAAGTCGAGGGCAGAGGATTACCTCGACTCCAGTGGCTTCTTGGTCCGTGGGTGACGCTGGGGGTGGGGGGGAAGAGACTCGGCTTAGAGGCAAGGTTTGCTCCAGGTGCTTCCGGCAACAGACGCCTCCCCTGCGCTGGGCAAGGGAGAGCCCCCGCCCCCGCCCCGGCCCAGGCCCCGAGCTATACCCTCGCCTTCCGGGCAGACGGGGCAGCACTCGCCCGCGGGGACTTTGGCGTTGGGACAGTTCTTGATTTCGTCGCAGATCACGTCATCGCACAACACGTTGCCGTTGTCGCAGACACAGATCTGGCAGGGCACGGGTTTCCACACGTCTCGGTCATGGTACCTGAGGCCGTTCTGTACGCAGGTGACTGGTGGGACTGGGGCAAGAGGGGGAGATGGGGGCTGTCAGCGGCGCGCGAGTCCCCCACCTCGGGGCTCCAGGTACCCCAACCCCACCGTCCCTTCCCCTCGGCCTTAGAGGCACATTTAGACTTTCCCTTTCCCGCCTCTCCTTTTTTTGTCTTTTTGTTTTTCCTTTCCCCAAATCCTTAACCGCTCATCTGCTCCTCCTCAGCGCCAGTGACAGGGCCGAGGCGCCTGGCCAGGGAAGCTATAACTCTTTCCAGTTCTCAGGAATTTAAACAAAGTTTTAGGCCGGGGTTGCTTCCAACTCCAACCCCAGACCATTTGCGCTGAAGCCAAATGAAATAAAAAGCCATTCGGTGGGAGAGTGGGGGGTGGAGGAGTGGGAAGAGAAGCTCCCCAACCAGAGGGCAGGCTTGTGGGGCGTGGTTTGGGTGGAGACAGAAGGAGGGGACGGCAGGAGAGACCAGAGGTCTAGTCCGGATCCCGCCCCATTCCCGGGGCAGGTGGGATGGAGTGGGCGGGGCTAGGAGCATGGGGGAGGGGCTGATTGGCGTGGGATCCCGCCCAGAGACTTGAAGCGTACCGTAAAAGTAGGATATGCCCTAACCTCCAGCGCCCAGACATCTCAAAAGGCCTCCCTCAGTGACAACCCCCGTTTCCCAAAGCCAGCCAGTGCCTCTGGGTCACTCCTTAGCCAAAGAGCCAGAAAGTCCGCAAATAATAAATCAAGTTAGTTAACCACGCCCACCGCGGATCATCTACCCAGACGGCCACTAGGTGGCGGGCGACACTAAGCAATTTCCCCCGACTGGCTACTTCTTCTAGAGACGGGGCTACCCTATCTCCAACTTTATTTTCCAGGTCTGGAGGTGGGGTCCACACCGGGCAACAATCCCGGTCTTCCCGCTCCGGCTCCTGCGCGGGGAAGCGCTGGATAAGGAGGCGCACTGCCCAGTGTAGATCAGCAGAGGGCGCAAGGACTCTGCCTGACCAAGTCCGCGCCGAAGAATCTCTTCCTTCAACCCGCCCACGCTCCACGCCCCCTCCCCCGCTCCGCCCAGCACCTCCGCGGACCCAGGAACATTGTCTAGCCTGCAGAGAGGGTAAACAGTCTTTCCTTATGAATCATCTCATAGCCTTTCTGATCACTCACAGCTTGGGCTCCAAATTCCCAACTCGGCGCCCCCATCCCATCTTCGACGTACTTTCCCCCCACCCGGCGTCCAGACCCCATTTTCCCCGCAGTACTTCGCAGTGCGCGCTCAGAACTCCTCCTGTGCCAACTCGCGCCGTGCAGCATCCTCCCCTCTCACTCCTGGGGGGCGTTCATCTACACCCTGACCCAGAGTGCGGTCCCTTCTATCCCAGGGCGCCGAGGACAAGCCTTCACCATCTTCCTTCCATTCCTGAGCCTCCGGAGCATCCCGAGTCTCAGTTTAAGTCGCGGACCCCTGGGACCAAACGCAGGGCAAGATACCAAGCAGCCCTAGACTCCCAAAAGTTTGGGACTTACTGTCTTCTTCTTGGCCTTCTTCTTGGCCCTCCTCTTGGCCGTGCGTCAGGAGGGCGGTGGCCGCTAAGAGGAGCAGGAGCCGGAGGTCCACAAAGCTGAACATGTCTAGACCCTAGACATGTAGACTCTTTGCGGCTGGGGTGGGGGTTAGCGTCCGCTCATGCGTGGCCTCACACTCCGCGTGCCTCCTGCTCCGACCCCGAGGAGAAACTCCCGTCTGCTCCGACCACCGGCCCGGGCCCCTTTTATACCATCCTGATGGAGAGCGGGGAGGAACCCTGCCCCTGGGAGAGGGGGAGCCGGCTGCCCGTCCCCCAGCCAATCAGAGTTGCCTGGCCCGGCCCCCAATTTGGGAGTGAGAACGGAGAGGGGGAGGAGGAGGGAACGGAAGGGAAGGGAGTCCACCGCACATCTCCCCCCTTCGCAGCTCTGCCTCCCCAGCCCCCCAGCCCAGCCAGGGCCAGAGATGATGCCGCTGGGATGCGGCTAGGTCCTCAATATAGTGTGCGCTAAAGAGTGGGTAGGGGCACCTCTTCAGCTTTCTTACTGGGACCCCCGACCTGGGGGGCAGAACTGGAATTGGGGAGCTGGTTAGGGAACCTTTCAAAGATGGAAGGATTGGGGGTGATTGGGAGAGAGTTCTGCTGGCCATGCCTCGTTCACCCTCCTGACATCGTTGGCAAGAGCTAGGGGATGGGTATGAAGAGGCCAGCTGGGCACCCCTCTAAAGCAGGAGAACCTAAAAAAAAAGATGTGCCTGTTTAGGGGTGTCTTCTGGTGTGGCTGGGGTATGGAACTTAGGAATATTTGGGGAACAAGTTAAGGACTCATTTGTAGACATTAAGGATCAGATACGTGGGGATGGGTGCTAGCAAGAGGGTTTTTATTTCAGGATGTCAATTCTTCTACCATGCCTGAGGCTCCAAGATGAAGTACAATGCTCTCCCCAAACCTCAGCATGATTGAGAGAGATGGGGTGGGAAGGCTGAGGCACTGGCTGAGAAATTTGACTACGCGGTCTCTCCAGAAGGAAGCTTTGGTGTTGAGTGATGGGGCAGCAGGGTGGTGGTGAGAAATCGCTAAAACTCTTCCACGCTGGGGGGAGTAAGTTTGCATGGGGAGGACTGTGGTCACTGGCGACTTAGAAAAGGGTCTTGTGTTAGGGTCTGTCATGGCCAGTGGCCAGGCCCTGGTTAGAGACCCTTCTACCCGGCACAGCCAAACTGGAGAGAACTGTGCTGGAGAGCACTTGACCAGAGAGAGGGTTCTCCTTCTGGGGACTGCAGAAAGCTCTGTCTCTGTCTGTACCTGGACTCAGGGTTGGGGACATATGGGAGAATTTGGGTGTCTGGGGGAGACTTGCCTTGGGAGTATGAAATGGGATTGCAGGTGAGTGACCTTATTTTAGAGGATGTTTCCCACCGCCTCACCTCTTTCCTGAAAACCCAGGGCATTGCTCTTTGTCCCTGGAACCAGGAGAGAATCATCTACACCCTGAAAGGCAGTGGGGACCCCAAAAACAACAGGCTATATTTGGAGGAGATGCCTCCAGAAGCCAGTGTCCTCCCTTCTCTATGTCCCAGCCTCCTGACAGTGCTCGACCCCAACCCCAATCTATCCAGGCGGCTGATCCTGCCGAAATATGTGGACCCAAGAGAAGGCAATGAGGATCCCTTTGCAGAGCCCCATCGACTCCAATCCCTCCTGCGCAGCTCCCCACCCCCACCGCTCCAGAGCTGCAAACGTGGAAGTGGGGAGTCCCGCCTCCCCCAAACCATCCAAGATTCCATTGCCTCCCCCTGCCCCTCTCCACGCCCTCCCCCAGCTGCTTTTGTGCAACGAAGGCAAAGGAAAAAAAAGACCAAGAGAACAGAAGGGGAGGGAGCCACGTCGGCTGGCCAGCCCGTGGGCAGCCAGGATGAGCCGTGTGGGTGGGGCAGCAGAGGGAGACTGCAGGGGCTATAATTAAAGGGAAAATATAGAGTTTCCAGAGAGGCAGGGCTGGAGACAGCAATGGAGGGACAGGCCTTCATCAATTATCCCCACCATGTGGCAGCAGCTTGCGGCCCAGTATCTGCCCCCGTCTGGTGCCAGCTACTGCAGGGCAGGACTGGGGGCTGAGGGGCTGAGATGGCAGTTCCCGCCCCCTCCAGTGTGGGTCAGGGACAAGGAGCACCCCCTCCCTAATGGGGGACACGAGCCCTGCCCCTCAGAGCAGTCACCCCTTTGCAATGGCTGTCTGGGGTGGAGAGTCACAGGCTGGAGGTGAGAATTGCTGTGACCTGCCCACCTCCCTGCTTGCTGCGTTTTTGCAGCCAGAAGTACTCCCACCTACAGCCCCCTCCCCACATGCTCCCTGTTCAGGCCGTGCTCACTTGACCACCTTAAAGGAGATTAAGACTCAGAGACGTGGATTGGGACGTGCTACATCATGGGCCTGTGGTTCTGAAGGATGTTTAGGGACCCCTAGGATTGGGGGGTAGGCTTTGTGCGTATGGTGTGCGATAGCCACCACCCCAATGTCCAGTTTCAGACCTCCGTCCCAGGAGTTGTGGGCAGAAGGTTTCCAAGCATCTTTTACACGTGGCATAGAGCTGAGGCCCAGGGCCTCCTCTGCCACTTTTCTACTTGAAACACTTGGCGGGCGCCCAGCCCCAAGATGTGTCTTTAATTTCTGCAGCATGACAGTGAGAGGAAGAATGTGCTTGGGGTCTCCTCCCAGCCTGGCTGGGCCTCCTTGGCCAGAACTGAGGGCTTGAGACTTGTGGGGGGAGGAAGGAGAGCAGGAGCTGAGGCCGGAGCGGGAGGAGACGCCACCTCATCTTTAGGAAACTCTGAAGCTCTGGCTTCTTGTGGAATGTAAGACTTTGTCTGGCATTTGGAGTGGGGGGAGCAAAAGCCAAACTCTCCTCCCCCCCACCCCCAAGAAATGGTAAACTCATCAGCACTTAGGGAAAAAAAATTCCTCAAGAAGAAAACCAGAAGGAAGAAAGTGCTGAGCTCTGAGTTCGCTCCTTCTCCAAATTTCCCCAAGTGCCCTCCCTCAATGCGCCTGTGCTCCCCACTCCCCCTCCCCCGGAGCCCCTCAAGTCCCGGTCTGGACTGCACGGTGTGGGGTAAAAGAGAAGAGGCAGCCCAGGTGTTGGTGTACCTGGTGAGCAGTTTGGTCAGCCCTTTCCAGCTCTCTGGTCCCCCTGCTGAGGTTCCGTTGCCCTCCTTCCCTGATCTGACCCTTCAGAATGCTCTTCCGCCCCATCACCCGACTGGTGATGGAGAGAGGGTCCCTGGGAGAGGGGTTGAGGACAGGGAAGGGGAGGGGGTGTAAGAGTGAGGCTGCAGTAAAGAACTTGGTGTCCACGTGTCCCCATTCATGGAGCCTGCACGGTTTGTATTGAGGACCCCTGCAGGCAGAGCTGGGGACAGACCCCAGGAGTGGGCAGTTCTCTCTTCTTCCTTTTCATTCGCACTTTCCATTGCACTTTCTGGGTCTTTTGGTCCTTAGATTCCAGGCACAGCTTTCAATGCCTCAGCCTCAACCCAAGTCCTTTGGCCTGAGATTTCCCTTCATCTCTTCATCCTTTCCAGGTTCAGAGGAAAGATGATGAATTAAGTGTGTCCGTGTTGAGTGTTAGGTGCCTATGAGACACCCAGTCAGACACATGGAGGGAACCCTTAGGTGTCTGAGTCTGGAGTCCAGAGGAGAGACAAATGTGGGACCCCCGCCTCCATAGGGTGATGGTGTGGACGGAGTTATCTCCCGAGAAAGTGTGGAGGGAGGAGATATGAAGGGCTAGGACTGAGCCTTGAGGACCCTCAGGGTTTAAGGGTTGGGAAGGGAAGGAGAAGCCCGCACAGGAGGTAGGACAAGAGTGGGAGAAGTAGGAGGGCAAGGAGGAGAGGACTGGGGGTGTCATGTATGCGGGGGGAAGATTGCTCTAGAAGGAGGGAGAGTTATATGTTGCAGAGAGACTTAGTATGAGAGGGAGTAAAATGGTTCCTGGATTAAGCAACGTGGCAGTGATTGGTGCCCTAAGTGTGAGCTGCTTTGGTGGAGTGATGGATGAGGAACCTGGACTGGAGCCGGCTGAGGAGTGAGTGGGAGGCCAGGAAATGGGGTCAGAGTGCAGACAACTCGGGGGAGGAGTTTAGCTCTGAAGGGAGGAGAGCTTGTAAGATGCCTCATCCTCCCTCCCTCCTTCCTTCTCTTTTTCTTTCTTTTCTTACATTCCCCCACCCCACTCCTGTCTGTCGTTTTGCCCCTGGCCTCCCTCCTCTTTCTTTCTCATGGGACTCTGCTCCTCTCTCTGCAGCTCTTTTTCAGGGTGACATTTTCGATCTTCCTCTTCTCAAATGTCCACATCCAGTCCCTGTCTTCACTTCATTTTCTTCTAGAGCGAACCTTCAGTCCATGCTCTTAAAGAGAAAGCTTCATTTCTAGTCCTGCAGATCCCGTCACATTCTCCAGGACCTCCCAGGCCAAGAGGGGGAAACTGGGGCAGAGGAGCCAGGGAAGGAGCTGGGACAAGCTGGGAGAGAAGGGATGGGGCATGGTCCTTAGGTGGCATTAGGACTCCCCAGGCCCACTCCAGCCCCACCAGGTTGCAGCCAGGTCCCAAC